CAAAACCCCAAAACCCCAAAACCCCAAAACCCCAAAACCCCAAAACCCCGTTAGGAAGGATCGAATGAATCAATATAGTATAGTTAAAAAAAATAATTTTCACTAAAACTCTGACTAAAATTGATGGAATCTATTAAGAATTTGCAAAACTTTGAATTAATTGACAGAGATTATGTCGTTGTGACTGCTTAAAATCATCTCCTAGAACCAATAAAGTGCGGATGCTGCTTGATGGACTACGTCTAAGGAGATTATCAAAAGAATCTGGAAAACTTTGATAACTGCATGATGATTTATAACAAGAAAATGAATCATATTCACATCTAGTGCGGGTCTAAGTTCAACTATTCTGGAGTAAACCTTGACTATAAAACTTAATTTTTCAAAAACGGTGATACTAAGTTATATGAATTAAGACTTGAGCACTCTGATACATGTCCAAACAGAATTTATCGTAGGATCTGCTAGGATTAAGAGATGCCTATTATTTCAACTGATAAAAATATAAAGCTTGCAGTGTGCATGGCTTTATTTGATTCAGAGAGAAATTTACTGCTTACAAGAAGAAATAGTAATCTAAGAGTATTCCCACATGCCTGGGTAATGCCTGGTGGTCATATAGATCTTGGTGAATCCTTAGAGGAAGGTGTTGTAAGAGAGCTAAAAGAGGAAACAGGAATATAAATTGACTCTATGACAATGAAGAATGGATCGATGGTCTTTTTCCACAATACTTAGGAACTATAAATCGAACCCTTTTATGCATTTGAAAGTGTCTCATCATTTTCAATTGATCATAAAAATCCACCCAAAGGGGGGCACCTCATAGTATTTTTTAGAGTGCAGCTAAACTAAAAGCACTCTGAGATTAAATTAAAACTTTAGACTGAAGAGGTAGACGGAGCAGTTTGGGTCGACAAAAGTCATATTCAAAGATTCCTTAATAAATAAGATGGAGATTTTCAAATAAAAGGCATTGTTCCCCTTGACTCAAATGGTAGGAACTAATCGAAGATGTTTAATCTTTCATAACTGTTTCCAAACTACCCTAATTAAGACCGAGAAGGTATCAGCAAGGCTCATAACATGGCTATTAAATACATGCTTCAAAAATAACTACAGCAAATAAGTAAGCTGTGATAAATGGATTTTTGTTTAGAATTGGATTAAAAAAACGAAGTTTATCTTTTGTATGTAATAAGTAATTCAACAATTTTCTGTAAAATTTAGAATATGGGGTTTTGGGGTTTTGGGGTTTTGGGG